GACCAATAAACATATGAAAAAATGTTCAACATTGCTGGTCATTAGAGAAATGGAAATTAGAACACTAAGATTTCATCTTACTCCAGGAAGATTAGCCATCATCAAGAAATCAAATAATAACAAATGCAGGTGTGGCTGTAGTAAAAAAAGGAACCCTTCTGTCTTCCTTGCGGGAATGTAAACTAGTCTAACCATTATGGAAATGGATATGAAACTCTATCAAAAAACTAAAATTAGAAATTCCATTTAACTCAGCTATTTCTTTTCTAGGTATCTTCCCAAAAGAGCTAAAGACATTATATTGCCACACTACACGCATTCCAATGTTTATAGCATCACAATTCATAATAGCTAAATCATGAAAATACAATAAATGTAAACATTATGTGTCATAAACATGAACTAAAAATGCTACTTCTACTATTACTACTACTAGTAATAATAATAAAAATTATGAAATGGAGGAAGGGGATATAGAGACATAGAAAAGAGGGAAAGGAGAATAAAAAGGAATCAAGACATGTTAGGTACATGTACCTATTCTCTAAGAGAAATGTAAACTTTATGTATTGGTAAAATTATACTAATAAAACAAAATTAAAAAGAGAACTTTTAACATTTTTTTATATAAGAATAGAAACATTAAAACGGCAATTCATATCTCCATTTTAGTCCATAATTATAAATAAATAAAAGTATATAGAGGCTTTGTTTTCCTTTGCTTTGTTTTGCAGTACTAGGAATTGAACCCAGGGCCTTTGCACTGAAATACATCTCTGGTCTAGAGTGCTGGGATAACACCTATGTGCCACCACACGCATTTTTATAGAGATTTTTAAGGGTCCTTGTGGAAAAGGACATTCTTTGATTAGAAAGCACTGAGGACACACGATGTTTATTGTTGCAAAAATGGACTGAAGCCTTTCACCTGAAGATAAGAGTGTATTTGAATTGCAGGAGATCCCTATTTTTCAGTCTTGCCATGCACTGTAAAAATTAATGGGAAGTAAGGACTGTGATTGTAGTGGATTGATAACTAGTGGTCAACTTATAACCCCCAGCTGAACTGAGTAAGTGTGGTGCTGGGTGTGGGAGACCCACCAGGGATTGTTGCCAGCAGCGTAAGAGGCAGAATTGGAGAAAAATAATGCTTTAATTACTAAAATGTTTGGTATCCGCCCATTTGTACTAGCTATGCCCTTGGTTCTCGCTCAGTAAAAGGTGACTGAGACTGGTAATTGGCGCTGCAGTCGGAGAGGCTATACGCTCCCTGATCCCAGACTTTTGCCTCTCTTGTTTTTCTTGTCTGTCTTACTTTTTCTTGTTATCTGCGGGCACCTTGGTCTTGGGACCCACTCACTACTTATAAAGAACTACAGGTCCTGTATTTTATAGCTGAGTACTGACCACTTGTACTTTAACATACGTGTGAAAGTTAACGGACTGTGTCAATCGGAGTAAGAAATGCCCAACTAAATTGGATCAGCATAATTCTGAGTGTGATTGAGGAGGTTTACTGAAGACAGAAGACCCAGCCTAGAGTGGCTTGTCACCTGAATGGTATAAAGGGGAACGAAGAAAGAAAACTTGCTTCTGTTTCTTTGGAGGAGCTCCAACCTTCAGCTTGGATGTCATCTCTTGGGTTCTAGTGCAGACTTCAACCTCCTGCACAAACCCTTTAGCCTACCTGTGGCGCAGACTGTTTAGGCTTCCATTGCAGACCCTTTGGCCTCCTGATAAAGACTCGCAGACTTGTGCAGGACCCTACACTGAGCTCCAGGTCTTCGACTGGATCCTTTGAATCATCAGTGTGCAGACAGACCTTTTGCACTCTCCCACATCTGACAATGTGGGCGGCCACTGTAAGCCAATCTTGTAAATTTTTATGTTTGTATGTCTTGCATTAAATCTAGTAAGCACTGACTGATACAATATACAATAGATAAAAACGTTACTAAACAAATGACTATTTTTATTTTAACTGAAATATTACAGATAGCTGCTAAACCAAGTATTAGTTTTTTCTTAAAAGACTAAATTGGCATTCACTGATATATTTTTTTCCTAGTGTTTGCAAAGACTTTTGAACTGCAGGATTTTATATTTGATTCTGCTAATAATTAGCTCATGGGCCTTGAAGAAATGGGAACCTCTATAAAATTAAGTGGTAAGAATAGATTGTTTCAAAGTTTTTATCCAGCTACATATTTTTTAGGTACTTTAATATTTTAACTAGAAAGTACTTACATGGTCTGAAACACCTAACATTTTAGATGTCAGAAGTTTCAAAATGATTGTTCCAAGCCACCAAGCACAACCTTGAATTAGCTAGAAAATAAAACAGTGCAGTATTAAAACCACCCAGTTAAAATATTCAATCATACCTACAATTAGTGTAGGTATGACTAATTATGTGACATATATTAGTGGTGTATATATGGTAAATTCTAAACAAAAAAAGCTCTTTTAACAAATTTTGTAATGACACTGCTATAAAATATATAACACAAGAGCTCTACATATCCTAAACCTAAAGGAAATGATAAAGTTATTTCTTTTCAATCTCTGTTAATAGGGGCTATATGTTTATTTTCAGATATTATTTCTCAGCTGAAAATCCATATTTCAAAACACTATATTTAAATGCTTCTATCATGCTTTTGGAAATAAAAGTACATGAATCTCTCTTCCAGAAAGGAAACTGTAATAATCTAAATTTTCATTTTCAAAAGAGAAATAAGCTCTAAAGCTGACAGCAAGGTTTATGGTTTGGTACTTTCAGGCTGCCCTTGATTACAAAGAGAACTAATTCAGAATTTCAGGCAGCCTGAGGAAAATGACTGCAGCCTAAATCCAAATTTCTCCACACAAATCCGACAAACAAAACAATACAACCATAAATGCACAAAACGGGTGACAGCACGAACTCCATATTCCCTGTCAATAGGAAAAGAAATAACACAGACAGCAGAGCTATACCTCAAGTTTCCAACAAAAGCCTCTGCAGAGATTAAGGGGAGACCTTTAAAAAGCAATAGACAGGAGGAAAGAAAGGGCTAGAAGCTGAACCAAAGTACTCAGAGAAAGAGAAGCCTAGCAGATTTGGAATGGACTGCAGAGCAAGTATTTAAAAGGCAGAAAAGGGTCAGGGATATGGCTCAGTGGTATAAGCACCTACCTGGGAAGTGCAGGGTCCAGAGTTCAATTCCTGGTAACACACACACACACACACACACACACACACACACACACGGCAGAAAAGTAGTAACAGCACAAAATTCAAATTACAAATAAAGAATCTCTCTCTCTCTCTCCCTCTCTCTCTCTATATATAGATATATATAATCTGTATATCTATATATATAGATATATATGTGTACATAGAGAGATATATATCTCAAAATATAATCAGTCACTGTAGTGATCTCAAAAGAAATGGAAGTGAGGAAGTCACCATTCTTCACTACAGGGACCCAGGGCTGGTTCCAGGGCTGAACCAGGCCAAAACAAGACAAGCCAGAGCACCTTGCTGAGTCACACACAGCGTACTCAGGGATCACAATGGCCTGTCAAGGAGACAAAGGATCTGGTGGAAAGCATTTACAATGGTGATGCCTGGAGTTTCTATCTGTGATAATGTGAACTTTCCCTGCAGAGACACCAGAGGATCCCAGCATCATCCCCCGGAAAGGGACCTGCAAGGCAACCCTGTTGGAATTCCTTTCAACCCAAACTTCTGCTGGGAAGAACTGCCCTCTATGGCGCCTTCCTATGCATAACATGGCTTAGTTTTCCATTTACTTGGATAATCTTTACATTTTAAGACCTAAAAATATTTCCCCATCAAGTATTTCACTATTTTATTACATTTATTCAAATGATATACAATTTTTTTCTTCCAAATAGACAAAGCATATTTTAAGTATGTGTTGCATGTATTGCCAAACTTCCTACACTTTGATTTTTTTGTTTCTTAAATATTCTTGAGTTATAGCTTAGTTAATTCTTATTCTTTCTAGTCTGCCATTGAAAATGTTGAAAATGTAGTTTAAGACAATAAATTTTCCTCACAAACATCTATACACTGTTTTATTGCTTTTTAAATCATTTACAATTATAATTTTGATTTTCTTTTGTGTTTTGAGTTATAAAATTACCCAGTTTTTATGAAGTGAAAAATAGCACATGTTAGAAGTGTCATGTCATCCAACAACTTAGTTTGTCCTTAAAAGGACAAATCCTCCTACATTTCTACCATAAAGGACAGGAGATTATCTCTAAAAAAACAGAACTCTTCTACTTTTCTCCTTTGTATTCTGAGTAGAAATCTACCTCCTCAGCTTACCAGAACTTTTCTAGTCTTACTGTCTCAATATTTGTAATATAAACATATGGTTCTTCAGTATGTTTTTTTTTTTAATAGGCGTACATCAAAATCCTACAGAAAAAGAAGAGCTTAGGACTATTTCCTACCTCTGACAGTGATTATTTAAAAGGCTTATTAAACATAAATCATGAGCGAGTTCTCCGGGAGCTGCAGCGCTCCTGGGTCCGAGTGTGGGCCGGACTCATACCACCGCGATTCCCAGCCGAAAAG